CTTTATACGGGAAACTGACCACTATTTAGGTGTTACAAACGTGAAGAAAACCCGGCAAATTCAGGTGTTTTAACCACTCGGCTATTCGTGGGCTTGGATTTGAGAGTTATTGATTTGGTTACAATGATGATGTTTGTAATGAAAACCCGTATATATTTAATAATTTATAGATACTACAGGATTTTCTAGTTAATTTTCATGTGATAGACCCATTGGCAATGGGTAGTAAAGTATGATGTATACCTATTCATTGACATTTTTCGACAGTAACACGTGTAGGGCACTATAACGTGACTTGATTGTACTGTACATCTAAGTTATTGAGTTCTACTTTATAAAAATTTTAATAATAGAACTTTTAAAAATTATTTATTATTTAATACTTTTTACAATAACTCCCACAAATATACCTTTCGTAAAGTGATAATAATTAATGGTAAACGGATACATCAAAATCAATTAAAAGTTAATTAAAAATGCATCTAAATGATGGCTGAAGGGATTAAAGCGTACTTTAAGGGCCCAAGATCGAATCCGGACAGTCAAAAAACCTCAGAAATTTATCCGATACATCGGGCCCCCTCACAACCCGGCTGCCGCATTGTGGGTATGACCATACTCATGGTGGATATGAAAAAGGGCCTTTTTTTAGTGCACAAAAAGCGGAAAAAGTTTTAAAAACTGTATCCAAAAAAACATACATGATCAATAATGTGTAATAAATCAGTTCACAAAATACTGCATTACATTACAAAAGTTGTAATGAACAAGCAATTTTATAAATTGCTTGGTCATATAAAATAATCCAACCTTAACTTCAGCCAACAACTTTTGCATTTTTATATTTAATTGTAATTTATAGCTTCATAAAATCCGTTCTATCATGTAAATATTAAATATTTAATAATGATGATGAATTAAAAATCTGCTGTTTATTTTATTCAAGATAAATAAAATAAAACTATTAAATACAAAAACTATTTTATTTAAATAAGAAGCCGTTTCGCATTAAATTATCAAAGCAATTATATAAATTTCAGCTTTTTACTTAAATTATGTGCTTCTTCTGTTGGAATAACCAATATTTCTTTAATCTTATATTAGAATGTTGAGTTTGCATCTGACCATGTGCAAACTCATCAGCAGGGTTGGGCAGGTGAAAATTTTCCGGTTCTTTTCACATATCTTACACATGAATAATTTTTATGGTAAATAGACTACCATAAAAAGTCTTCTGGGAAGCACACTCTTCTTGGCAGATCGCCTAATGTTGCGTTGTCTTATTCCATCGATCCAATTCAATTTTGGTGTTCGGGATTCCAACCCGGAAACATCGGACCTATTTCTCACCACCTGGCTGTCCTATTGTGAGCTTGGCCGAACATACGATGAGCTTCATTAAAAACGCCTTCTTCGTATCCTTGGGGCGAAAAGAGTAAACAAAAATCCTGTTGTTGAAGTTCACACAAGTGTTCACCTTCCTAAAGCGTATCTTTATAACATCTTTCTAAAATGACCATAAAGACATTTCTGAATAAAATTACACACATTGCCATTAGAAACCTGTGAAAATTCATCATATTAACAAATAAATACAGTAGTTATTATTTATACATTGCAAAGAATTGGCTGACGAATGTATTGCAATCGAAATATCCTTCACATCTACAATGACTTGGTCCACGACATTCTCCGCTTGTACTTTATTTTTTTTTTATGGTGTGATCACCAACTGGTACAATTCGGTTGGATTAATCAATATAAACGATTTTGTTTGTACTGTATAAAATATTAGTTTTCTGGTTATAATGGCTAACAATTTGGAAATATTTACTTCCTTTCATGAGTTTATATCTATACTAATATTATAAAGAGGTAATGTTTGTAAGTATGTATGTATGTATGTAAGTTTGTTTGCAGCAGGTAATCTCCGAAACTACTCATCCGATTTCAAAAATTCTTTCACCAATATTTAGAATGGAACCTCAGGGTGGACATAGGCTGTATATTATTCCGTTAAACATTCATATAAATTAAAATATATAATCTAGGTT